TTGTGCTTTCGAGGGCGTGGCGGGGGAGTCACAATAGGAGTCATCGGCTGACCAAAGCCTATCTGGCATGACAACGGGGTAGTGTGCGAAATCCACAGTTCATTGGAGGTCCATCGGATATTATATCCTTTGGACGTGGTCAACCATCTAACGTGCTCACTCGAGTCGATGACCACTATCACAACCAGGATAAAATGTATGTTTGGTACACTTGGTTGGTTTGAAATCAGAATTATTATCTAACTCCCTAGGTAAAGTGCAGTGGTTCATCCGGATTATGAGTTTTCATCTTTTCACGTTCGTGGGAGAAAACCTACGGAGCGTCAGGCCAGTGAGCAGGGTTTCCTCGATACAGGGCACTTAAGAGACTCCATCGTATAGAAGGATTTCAGGAGGCTAAAGAGAGAGGTGATTAATCATAACCCAATACACCTAACTCCGATTCGTTAAAATGTCTTTATGAAACAGAATCAACAGTTCAGAGATGAGCATTTATACACTTTTGACTTTCTTTCATAGTGCAAGAAAAGTGGTACAAATTTACAGGAAGCGGAATCTTATTGAAATAATAGAGGGTACAATGAAACGGAGAAGGTAAGGGAGTAGTGGTGTGTTGATAACCTAGGTCGCGTTTGTAGACTAGTTCGGGTAAAAATTCAATAATCGAAAAGTATTTGGAGGATTTCGATCACCGCCACAAATTATCTTAGCGACCGGAGTCGACACTGGATTATGAGGAGAAGTGGAATTTATGATTGACTACCTAGTCACGGTTTGGATTCTCATTCCAAGATCAAATGAAACAATTTTGCCCAATCAGCCGGAGTATCCCATGGTTCGTGATTAAGAAGTTGGTCGATGAAACCGGATTCTATGGCTCGTGAACGAACTACTACGGTTTAATTTATCCACATTCACGGATTTGATAACAAGGATGTGGATGTACAATAACATCGTTATCTTCCGACGAAGGATCTATGTGTTTCTGTCCACTTGCTTGTGCTAGCTTCTTGACTGTTGTGTTCGTTCTACCTCATGCGGAAAAGTAGGCCACGTGGTTTACTGCAGCAGTTCTTTTTTTTTTTAAAAAAACTTTACTTCCTTTCTATTGAATACACAATGATACAATTTTAAGGAAGGGGGAAGCGGACAATCAAAGGGCTGCCATGGGGAAAGTCTGGCGGTGATGGTGGGATTCGAAAACATGTCCCCCGAAGTGATAATTTGGTGACATTACCACCGAGCCACCACCGCCCAAGTGTAAGTCAACTAACGGCTCTTAACAACCCCTCACACTTCTTGTTTGAAGTTGACGATCAGGATAGTTTAGAAGGAAGGGCACGGAAAATCGTTCCCTTGGTCCAAGCAGGTCAACTATGTGGGACCGCGAGCGTGTGACACAGCGATTTTGTCGCTGTTTCGTTGAGACAGAATTCACGAGTGCATACGGATGAGCACGAGTGCCAGCAAACAGTTTACCTGAGTTGTTCAAGTGGACAACAATGAACACACTTACTATATTTGGAAAGCATTGTATGCACATGCAACGGAAAATATAGGTCAAGAGACAGTGGCGTTCATTGCATGTTTGCTTAGTCGCACCAGATAATGATTAAAGGACGAGCTTCCGAGAAAAAACAAACAGTTTTTGTACTTCGATTTTCGCAACAGATGCCTACGTTTTTCAGTGCTACATGGATGAAGGTGTGAGGTTAAGTATTCACTTCTCAGTCTTTGAAATAAGGTATTGCTTTCTAAAAAGGAGATCACTTGGACCATAGTGTATGGGGCAACTGATCATATATTTGACCATGAACAAGATAAATGGAAACAAAGTGTGCTGAATTTAGTCATGTACAGAGAAAATGGAGAGTGAAGTGAAAGGCTAAGAAGCATTGCACCATTGTTTTGACCTGATTGGGTCTCATCGTTGGTGTGAGTCCATCCAACTGAGAACAGAACCCGGAATCTCACAGGTAGAATGTGAGCAGACCAGCCACTTGACCATCGGTAGCTGATCAGACCGTTTTTCATTTTGCCTATACACGATATAGCATAATCACCAATATCCTGTAATATAACAAGGAATAAGATGCAGAATGTTTCCACTCCGATCATAACCGGGGAAGCTAGTGCTAAGATCAATGATATACGACACCCCCAACGTGTTTGCAAAGAGGGGTTGTGCTATATCGTTTACAGTCAAAATGATAAACGGTCTGGTGTTTAAAATGGGTATGATGCTTGTGTTGTTGAACCTGCTACGTCCCAAGTTGGATCCTTAGTCGGATGGATTCGTTTTACTGATAGAACCCAACCAGCGCTTCCTAGCCTTTGAGTTTAGGCTTGATTTGATCTGTACACTATTCACTACATAATCAAATCAATTTCTCCAAAGTTACCAAATAGAAAGAACACGTTAGAGTGAACTGTTGTGCTTAGTCCTCTCTAACAACACCTGCACAAATCATAGAGAAGACAAAATTTTTTCCAATGGATGGACTGTAGGTCATTCGTTTGTGGTCGAGGAGGTTGAGAGGGGTAATGCAGGTGTACATGAGGTGCGAACGACTGGTTGTTTGACTGATGTGATCTTTTACCGGTGGGGTCTAATGATGCATTCCGTTCCGTCCAGGACCTTACATCAAATTGGAGCAGCTTGATTTCCCGAACCGGTAGTTATTTGTGTGCAAATTTGGATCCAGCAAGCGGACCACATCCGCCTCAGTCATGGCCAGTGCCCAAATCCAGACCGCCTTCGATCAATCGAGAGATATTGGATACACCACGGTGAATAGTTTCTTCCTACTGATCCCGTGGATGGTGTTCGACAGATGACCTAAGGTGACCATAGAGACGAAACTAATCTCAGATTGGATAAACTATTATAGACGATTTTAACGGCAGCAAGCTTGGATTAGTCCATTCGATTGTTAAGAGGCATTAGGCACTTTTGGGCGCGGGTTTCAATTAAACTCACTCACAAACATTTCCATCGCATGTAAATGCATGCAGTTGTGAGGAATCAACAATCTCCCAAGGGGTGAAACTCACACCCAAGAGTGCCTGGTGCCTCTTAACAATCGAATGGGCTAATCCAAGTTTGCTACCGTAAAATTGGTTCAACCATTTTCACAAGGTGATTACCGTCGACCGTGTAGCTCAGAGGTAAGGGTTTGAAGTCCCAACCCGAACGTTCGCGGTTCGAGTTCTGACAGGGACACAAAAATTACGCACTGCTGACGAGTCCCAAACAGGACGAAACAACTGTCCAGTGCTCTTTGTCGGTTATCACAAACTTTTCCATCGCATGTAAATATTAGATGGTATTCCTTAATGCACACAAACAGGCGTCTTGACATGCGTTCAATGTAAGATGAGACACAGAGGCAATAAATGAAAGCAGTAAATTGTCATAAATGAGACCAGTTTGAGCAATTTATCCCCCATCGAAGGATGAATCAACGAGGCCGAGCAGAAAACTGGGCAGAGCTTTTGCTGATAAGTGGCTTGAGGGAGCGCGAAAGAAATCACCAAAAACAACTGTGCGTTCTGCCCCAGGTAAGTCAAATCATATATTTACTGAATAAAACATTAGGAGTCTCATGACGAACCTATATGTCATAGATGAGAGAGGAAACAGTGAAAGAGCTTATTTTTTGATAATTCCATTTTCTGGTTGGAAAAGCTGGACAAATAGAAGCAGTGGTGGAATATATGTGTAACTATAAGATATGGAAATCTGATTGAGAATAGAGTTAACAGACTGTGTGGCATGTGAAAATAACTGTGTTGGGTGGATCGGAATGGGACGAGATACATGAATGCCAGTTACTGTCTCATGAGTAGTCATCTTAAATTATGTAACTGTATTTACCTCGGGGTCAGCACAGTCATAGCGGCTTTACAAATCGCTATTTTCAACCGAAAACACAAATTTCAAGACATTATAAAAACATGAGATTTATCATTTGCAAGCGATTAAGTTACAATAAACATTAAACAGTGATTGGTAAAACTTGCGGAGGTGATGGCGGTCAATGAATGGAAACCCACTCTGTGCAAAAAGAACTCATTTTACGATATATTGGCGGGGAATAAGTCAGGCTGGTGTCTCATTATCCTCCTTATCATGACTCTGATTTAGGAAATCTCTTATTTTTTTACTGCAATAATCACCAGTTGAGATGTAGAAAATTGATTCCTGAAATGCATCATGCGATTTTTCACGTTTATGTTCTTCGTTCAAGTTTTCATTGGATCAGAATGATTCAAGTGAAGAAAAAAGGCCTGAGAGAAAGGTTTGGCCGACCGAATACATTACAGGAATTGCTCGACAGTCAGCTCATCCATGATAAGGTCGATGTGAGAATGACCAAATATTCATGTAGTACCGTCTTCTGAAGAGGTCCCAATAGTGGGAATCTTAATCACACTTGTTTCTGTTGAAAAGCATTCCTTAATTCCCCAAACAAACAAACAAACAAATACAACATAAATAATTGAAAACAAACCGAAGCCAGTACATGTGAGATCCCCAAGAGGATAAAATCTCATGGAGAATGGAAGATTTTGCATGAGCAGCATTGTGACAGAATGTTTTTTTCCCTGGAATTGGTAGAAACGAACCAGCATAATTGAATCGGATGCAGAGAATCGGCCCATCACCAAAAGGGGTGAATACACATTGCTCAGATCACAAAATATACGTGATTTCAGCAGAATAGATAAGCTGAGTTGCACAGCTGACTACACCTAGGCGGTAGAGATGTGCGGCGAACGCGCTTCATCATACACTTAGTTCGATGTGATTATTTGACAGCAATTAACTATCCAGAGCCAGATTGAAGTATTTCAACTGATTCAGAAGTTGTGACAGTTCATTGCATCACAACCACCGTGTAGAATGTTCATCGAGCGGGTGTGTGAAATTGCCAAACGGACAAACCATACGAAACTAATACATCAAGGGAAAAAAACCCACCGTGAACCCGACTTACTGAACACACATCGATGTCGAATACAGCAGCCACTGGTCGGTGATCGCTTGTTTTCAACTCAGACCGATTATACAGAACCAACTGACCCGGACTCCATGTTTCGTCAATCGCATCCGTTGATGGCATCACAAACAAGCCGTCCGGATCAGTGACAGGGAACTGCAAACGCACTCGACGCCACAGAACGCGATCAGTCCAGGCAGGTGAACGAGCTTTCTCAGATGTGTCGTAATCATCACAGAACAAGTCGTACTTGTAGGTCGGTGCGAATCGGATAAGGCCCTCATCAAAACCGCGAAACACATTACCCGCCTGACGCTCCAAAGTTAGTTGATCGGATCGGAGCAAATCGGACCAGGCCGATTGGGCAACCAGACGTTTGACCTCCGGGCCGGAAAGGTTTATCCGATAGTTGAAATCACCACACCAGAACACATAGTCGTGACTGAGAATAGTGCGTCCGCTGGGGAAGACGAGACGACGACAAATTTCGTGAAAATCGTCATTTCGCTCGCGTACGGCAGATTGACCTGCGGCAAAGTGACTGCACACGAAGCAAACCGAGGTGGCTCCAACCTATTGGTGGATTAAAAAGGAGCAGGGCGATTTTGTCAGGTCCTGAAAGGTAACGTGTTTGCTTTAACAGGACAACTATCATTTGAAGGCCTATAAAATTGTACAGGTGGTGACGATTAGGATAGAATGGAATGAAAAGAACGATTCAAAATCGTAATGTTTTAAAGTGGGAACTTGTACCGATAAACAGGAAGCAGAATGTACCCAGTCTCTGAACTACGAGACTTTCGCTGTATTTCAATCCAGGGCTCCCATTGTGGATTGTGACTAAAGTTGACCAAGTGATAACCGTTTTGTGTGCATTCAAATGACGGGCATACCGCCACTAGGTCCAGAGGAGTAGCACGTTTATTTCACAATTAAGCAGAAAACAGTTAATTTCCTTTTCATCAGGAACCAAATATTTCAGTTTCCTGCCGAAAACAACAACACACTCCCGTTTCTACAACTTGGAATCTCAACCTCAGACTCACCTGTAAAGCACTAACAAGCCTGATTCAAAACTTCCTTCAAATACACTCTATTCCGCCCTCACTTCTCTATAACACAAATTTATAACTCCCTTAGACTTTACTTCTCACAGAATTTGGTTATCATTTTGTGCGGTGTACATTATTCGATTCTTATTCTATCCTTAAATCCCGCAAATTAGTGTGAGATGATGGTTTGTCTTATTCCCTCGCTCTTCATAATCTAGTCAAGTTAGCTAAAATCAATTCCTTGTATATCGCTCGTATCCAATTATAACACCAGACAAAAGTCGCTACGATATGCCAAAGAATTTAGTCACCAACTGAATATGGAACAACATGAAGTAGTGTTGATGTATCGAGCTGAAGTGGTTCATGAATATCCTTAAATATGTAGATAACACTGGTTATCAGAGCTTTTCCGAAGGTGTTTTAGAGCATGTGAGATGGTCATATAAATAGGCAGGAACGTTTCAGAAAAAACATCAAATCGTTACTCATATGTTCATTCACGGAATATATATATATATATATATTTCACAAAGTCTGACGCCAGACTGTGTGCCAAACACATAACAGTACAATAATCTTTATAAAAAGATAAAACGTTCCATAATTGTGGACAGAATACTGCCAGGTTGCTTAGACCAAAGAGGGTGAATTTTCTTAGCGAATTCGCAACCGGGGCCTTCGGCTAGCCAAAGCCTAACCCGCGAGGCAGCAGGGCGGTGTATGAAAACCACATTCCTTTGGGGACTGGTGTCCAGTTCATCGGATCATACGCCCTTCGGACGGGGTGAAACGTCTAAGGTGCCCAATACATCTCGATCCCCAATCGAGCCGGTGAACACTGCCACAATCGGGAAGGTGTGCGTGCTTCGTAGGCCTCTTCTTAGTTGGTTTGGAATCAGGATTTTTAGCAAACTTCCCTAGGTGACCAGCCAGTGGCTCATTAATCCGGTTATAGCCCCGGATATTGGCTTCTCGTTCTCTGAATTTGGTGAAAAAAACACTGCCACGAGAAGGCAGTGAGGAGGATTTCCTCAGCAGAGGTTATTTGAAACGCTTGGTTGTATGGGAGCATTTCGCGAGGTGCGGGGAAAGGGTGACCAGCCGTAACCCTGGATATCTACCCGCGACCATAGTGAGGCTTTCGGAATAATGCATGCATTGGTAAAGTGCGACTGTATGCAAACGGGAGAACACGTTTATGCAAGAAAAACGACACCAAAGGTAACCGTACACGGTTTACGGAATAGGATGGGGATCAATAAAAGACAGAAGGCAACAAAAATATGGGTATCGAATGAGTGATGACCGGAAAGACGTCAAAAACCGAAGGTTCTCATATAAAGAATAGTAAAGATTAGAGGAGTAAGAACCGCCTCAAAGGAAAGAACCTCAATTTCCACACATGTCAGGAATGTCACTCACGTCGGTGAGGTAACTAGAAGCCATTTCAGATGACGGTCGTGGAGGAAACATGAGAGCCACAAGTGACAAGTTCGGAGTATGCAAAGCTCATATGGACTGAGAATATGGATAAACCTCACTCCTCCGCTAGCATGATGATCACCTAAAGTAATGAATTTTATATCAACGGGATTTGGTGTTCGGCTATGGAAACCGATAGCTTGGACACTGGGACCCAGAGCGGTAACCCGCCTGAAGCTGTTAACACAGGAGAACTGGTATCGGACCAAAAGACTCTGACGGGGTCGACCACAATACGTCGCGCAAGGACATATTTATTCAACGTATGGAACAGGGGGTATCGCATGCTACTGAAGAGACCACAGGCTAATCAAGTCATGCACAATGGATCACTGTAGAATACAATTTATTGAGAAAGTCGACTAAGAACCGACAATAGAATACTGACTGTGAATGACCGAGTGTGAGTAGACTTAACAGAACAGATATTAAGGCAATGACCTAGGTCACGTTAAACACCAGTCAAATGAGATGAACTTGTTCCGAACCTCGATAGTGTGTACTTGTGTCCGGTGGTTTTTGTGCATGTCTAGGTGGGGGTGAGCAAATTCAGTTGACCAAAACGGTTAACGGATAGATCAGGGGTTTTTCGGTTGCTAGAGAGTCTGCACTTGGTCAACCTAACGGAGGTTGGTGAGAGGAACGAAGGCGGGAGGGGGAGGCAGTGAGGAGGACAAGAATACTGGTGAGTGCATCAATTCTAAGAGCAAGTGCCATCAGAAAAACAGACGGATTGTGAATTGTCTATCACTTTTGTGGTCTTATGCGGCCTGATACGGGCCAGAGTGTGTGTGCGGTCAATGCAGGTCAGCAACATTTTCTTATTAGGTGATAGATGAGAGAACACTACGAGATAACTTAAGTGCCACAAAAAAACGGAATATGTAAAGCTAGAAAAAAGTGTCAAATAAATTGAGCTGTAGCAGACATCAGTTGGTTTACTCTGCTATCATACTGTTGGTTTACTTAAGCAGATCGGGCGAGATATAAAACAAATGTGTATCTAATTGATCGCACCGAAGATCAACTGTTTCATCCTCGAAAGGCAGCAGAGAATGAGTACGGAAACAAACAAGTTTTCATAACCATATTACGGAATGTGAAAAGCTCAAGAATAAAATTAGAAACAAATATTCACCAAAATATACTACAAATTCCAATATTCCTAGGGATATACTTTCAGCTGTGGTGAAACACTATACAGGAATCATGGGTGAGGAAGGCGAACCGTACAGATAAGGCTGAAATTCATAAATTGTGTTAGCATAAACTAAGCTACTCAAGATCACCACAGATGGGTTGACTGTTAGATTTGGAACCTCGCGCTTCCGGGATCAAATACCAGTGTACTCGATGTACAAATAAAAGTAAGCAATTAAAAACGCGGCAGAGGGTAGTGCGTTCAACCGTTGTTGGTTGGTATGGGCTACTATACTACTACTCGGTCACCTAGGATTGAAGAGGTGTCCTTGAGGGACTGCATCTCAAGCCTTTGACAAAATAGTCTGACCCAAACAGCAGTGGGGTGTGCTTCGAGTCCGTGATTTGTTTGGTCTGGTATTCTGCCAGTCAGTCGCACTAAGATATACCGGTAAGTATGTGACACGTAACATGAGAAAACAGTCTCGTTCGATAGCCAATAATGATGTATACATTACTATGAGCTTCCGAGAAGTACATCTTTCATCCTCTGTCGAGGTAAGTATTACAGCCCTATTATCTTCATCAGGTTTGTGTTCGATTTGGTATGACAGGTAACCCGTGTCCTGGACACCTCTGGTCCTTAACCCCGTTATTACCAGATTGCTTTTATGGCAATGTGGAGTGATTTAGATCAAAGAAACTGATGTCAAATGAGAGTGAAAGTACGTCCAAACAGAATGGCAAATTGCGATTCATGGGACACAGTCATAGAACTTGAGATACAATGTTATGATCATCGTATACGACTACATGTAACAAAACTTTTATATTTCATTTCATTTCCTCTTTTCCTAACAGTGTGAGGCGTTCGATGAGACTGCTGTACGAAAAATGGTAGCAAAAAATTATTTACCGAATTTTTCACCAAAAAAAGGGACACAGTGATTAGGTGTTTTATCAGAACAGGAATAATACTTCGGTGTCCTCAATACGATAGAGCCAATATGGAATCGATCAAAATAACCTGGAGCTCACAAATGTCACACAAATACGTTCAGATTTGAGGTCAGGTTTTAAGGTATTTACAAACCAGGATACCTAAATAGGCATAAAAATGATAGGTTTATACAATACATGTGACAGGTAGTACGACAAAGATGAATCAAAGCTCAAGGTTATTCAAACGGAATTCTAGTTCAAAGACGCACCAAACTCCGGGACACAGACAACAAGGTAATCGAGGGAAATTTAGAGGGAGGAGATGACGCTATGCAAGACCTCATTCATGGACTGCATGCGTTCCTGCTACTGATAATCAGAGTCTTACAAATATGGTTGTTTACTTGAGATACAGAGAGAGAGAGAGAGAGCTGGCAGACGGTCAGAACGAAAAGTAATGTGGGTGGGGTGGGACAAGACAGAAAAATGCAGACCACCTTTACACAAGCAAATGTCAATTTAAGACTACCGGTATCAAACCCAGGGACAACATGTGTGCAAGCCTGAGAAGCGAAATAAGTCCCATTTTGCGAACATAACGTAGTGGATTAACTACAATGCAGAAAAATAACAAAGCAGCGCACCTGTAATCAATGAGAATAGTTAGATCATGGGTAGGTAAGCTCAAAACAAATCTGCTTATTAGCACCTCATCATCATCAGCAGCAGCAGCAGCATGTCTCCAACAGCTTTTACTTACCGTAACCTCCCCCTGGAAGAGTGACAGCATTTTCCTTGCACATGGAACAAACCAGTAGTAAGAAAATGCATACAGCTCAATGGGATTAACGAAAATTTTAAATCAACGAACTCGTTTTGTTCATGGTGAAACGTGTTTCCCCGGGGGTAGGAGACGGGGTAACGACTAACCGAATCACCACAATACGATGAGTG